TTCTCCGGCAACTAGGCAAATAGCAGGTGACAGTCTCACTGCAGACCTGATGATAAGTCAATCATGGTGCTCTCGGTGGGACATGAAATCAAATCCTTCGAAGTCTAAGGAAATGATTGTGAGTCGGTCTCGAACGCAGTTGCCTCAGCATCAAAGTCTGCTAATTCATGGAGTCTTGATCACTTCAGTGGATAACCAGAAGATCTTAAGGCCCATCATACTAGCACTCTTTTCCGTCAATTTTTGCGTTTTCGTCTGGATTTGAGGCTTTCCGCAAGTATCCTTTGCAAACGAAACAGCTCCCACACATAGGCGGTTACGAACCGTTTCGGTCTTGATCGTGTGCTACGAAGGATCTATAAAGCTAAAATGTTTTTTATTGATGACAACATTAAACGCAGATGCTTTTATTCTGCCTCATTTTGATTATTGGTCGCTAGAAGGGATCTGAGTGAGTGACAACAGTGAGTGCTTTTATCTCCGTGATTCCGTGAGATGTGACGTTGAGTGACGTGACGTGCAGTGCAGGTGAGTTTGCATTCCGTGAGTGAGTGAGTGACGTGAATGTTGAGTGATGACGTGAGTAGATCGTCGTGACGGTGATCTCGTGATGCAGGCGAGTGAGTGAGTGAGTGATTGAAGGAGAGAGAGAGGAGAGAGAAGACGTAGAGATTCCCTAAGGTCGAGAGAGTCTGGAGAGAGAGAGAGAGAGAAGACGATTATGAGTGCAGCATATCCTCGATCGTGAGATCTCTCGGTAGCTAGATCGAAGCAGATTCTCTGACCCTATCGCTCTCTCGTGACTGGACATCGTACGAGGATATCGACTTGGGTGAGAGAGATCTGCATGCATAGATCTGGCGAGATGAGAGATGCTCACGAGAAGAAGATACCTATCGATGCTCCGGACGGAGAGGAGTGACATCTAGCGCAGAGGCGAATGAGATGACTGCAGAGATAGGACAGAGAGAGACTAGAGGATGACCGAGCGAGACGAGAGAGAGACCTGAATCTGAGAGTTAGATGAGAGAGAGAGAGATGCAGAGAGAGAGAGAGCGAGAGAGAGTGAGAGATGCATCGAGTCGACGAGAGACGGCTTCTGGGCGTGGGGGGTGAGGAGAGAGAGAGGGGGAAGGAGAGAGAGGGGGGGAAGGCAAAGAGAGGGGGAAGGAGAGAGAGGGGGGGGGAAGGAAGAGAGAGTGGGGGGCAAGTGCAGGGATGGACAGGAGGGAAGGAGGGAAGGACGGGAGGAGAGAGAGAGAGAGAGAGAGAGACTGGATTGAGCCCGATCGAGTACGGTAGAGACGAGATGAGAGAGAGCGAGTCCGAGTCGATCTCGGATAGCTCGATGACTGCTCTGAGCGATCCTTCTCTGAGCATCAGACGATGAGAGTCTCTAGCTCGATCGCAGAGCCGACGATGGCGGGGAGTTTCTTAGCTCATGCGTGACTTCGATCGACGAGAATCCTGTGAGACGAGAGTCAATCTCTCTCCCGTACTCATGACGCAGTAGGACCGCCCCCGGGCCTTCCTCCTACTATATCATATTATTATGTGATTGTGATGTGATAAAGTGAAAATGCTGAGAGAGGATTATGAGATCAAGAGACGAAAGAAAAGAAAGAGAAATAGGAGAGAGAGAGAGAGAGAGAGGAGAGTCCTGAACGAGTGAATGAAAGAGAGAGAGAGAGAGAGAGAGAGGAGACGGTAAGTACTGAGAGAAGATAATATTAAGAGGACTAAATGCATCTTATGCTATGTAAGGTCATGAATCTATTTAGATCCCTCCAGAAAAAGAGTAGATGAAAACGTACGGAGGAGGAGAGAGGAGAGTAGAGAGAGAGAGTTTGTAAATATTGAGGGTTGAAGAGATAGAGGAACAACACCTTTAAATCTAGAGAGTGAAGAGAGTGAAAGAGATGAAGAGATGACGATGAGAGAGAGAGGAGAGAGAAGAGAGAGAGACGAAGAGAGAGGAGAAGGATGATAGAGAGAGATAGAGAGAGAGAGAGAGAGAGAGAGAGAAAGAGAGAGACGTGAGAGAGAGAGAGAGAAAAGGGATGGGAGAAGTGGAAAGGGGGTGGTAATCGAGAGAGAGACATGGTGGGATGGAAGGCGGGTACGAAGGGAGAGTAGAATATGGTGAGGGGATGAGTGGATATAGTTGTGACGAGACGAAGAGAGAGAGAGAAGAGAGAAGGAGAGATAGAGATATGATTGAGTTGAATTGCAGAGAAATGAGTAGAAGTGGAGAGAGAGACGAATGAAAATGGAGAGAAGAGAGATAGAGGGGGGGAATGAGAGGGGTCGAAGAAGAGAAAGACAGGGAGGAGGTGAGAAGGGAAGGGGAGGGAGGGAGGGAAGAGATGGGAATAATGAGAGGAAGGAATATGAGGGACGGAGACGAGAGAAGAGAGAGGAGAGAGAGACGAGATAATAGAGAGAGAGACAGTTGAGAATAACATTGATGAGGATAAATCGATAGAGAATGATATTGGAATGGAGAGGAATAGAGGAGAGTATGATTCGCATAATTGAAATAAGCAATGATGAGAGTAGGATCGAAAAGATGATAGAAAGGAATGACAGAAAAAATAACGATTCAATCACTTCTACTACCAAAATGAATGATGGACGGTGATGAATAAAAGAGCTGGAAGTAAGGTGAGATAATAGCAACCAGAGAGAGGAGAGCCCTGTGTCGTGGTAAAAACCTTTGCCGAGCTATCTTTGTTAGGGACCAAGAATACAAAGACAGGCTGAGAGAGAGGAAGAGAGATAAAGGAGAGAGGAGATGAGAGGGAGAGAAAGTGAGATGAATGAATGCCACAAAAGATGAAGAGAGATAAGGCTGCGGATGAGTATAATTACTGGAGAAAGTGACCATGAGAGTGTAGAGAGAGAAGAGAGAGAGGAGAGGGGAGGTAAGTGTGCTCAAGTAAGAGTAAGAGTATGAGAAGAGTGAAGAGAGAAGAGAAAGAGGAGAGCGAGAGCGAGAGAGAGAGGAGCGAGAGAGAGAGAGAGAGAGAGAGAGAGAGAAGAGAGAGAGAGAGAGAGAGAGAGAGAGAGAGAGAGAGAGAGGAGAGAGAGAGAGAGAGGAGAGGGAGAGGAGGGGGAGAGGGGAGAGGGAGGAGAGAGGGAGAGAGAGAGAGAGAGAGAAGACGAGAGAGAGAGGAGAGAGAGAGAGAGAGAGAGAGAGAGAGAGAGAGAGAGAGAGAGAGAGAGAGAGAGAGAGAGAGAGAGAGAGAGAGAGAAAACATACGTTCCCCTACAGTCACGGAGATCTCCCCAACATGTGTGAGTATGTATATTTAACATTATTTGCTTCTACTGATATATCTATGCCTATGTCTATCTGTCCTAAGGTATTGTATTTATATTTATGAAAAAACATACAAATATACACGCACCTGCATACACACATACATTAGAATTCCCTTTTGCGGCGCAATTCTATTTCAAAATTCAAAATTGCAAACTTAAATCTCTGGTTATAGCTTCTCTTTAACGTCAGTATAAGATTATCTCTTTAAAAAATACACCGAAAGTTGTAAAACATTAATAAAGTGAAAAGTCAACAATCTCATCCATCCACATCCCAAATACCACCCTTCTTAAACTACCAGTTTACGATAGAAAACAACAATCATATAAAGAAATACAGCTAAACAAGTGATTCCATTAACCCTGCAGAAATAGAAAAACAACCGCACATTGATAAAAAAAAGGAATAAACAAATAAAAAGATCGTGCAAACATCAACGATCATTGGCGGTGTAAATGCTATAAAAAGCGCCGTCCGTAATCACAGGAGCTCGCCGCCCGGAGGTGCACCCGGTACGAGCTGCTAACGGTGAAGGGGCCTCAAGTTATCTGCTTCGCCCGCCGACCACACCTGCAGTACGCTGTGCACCTTATGGCGGGTCCTTGTAGAGTGAACGTAGAATTGAAACAAGTTTGATTTGCTTCTTGATGTCAGTAATCGTGAAGGGTCGTGAGAGGAATTTGTGTATGGGAGTTTTACTTGATGCTGCTAACTCTGCGCTACTCACCGTCTGCAGCTGTGTATTCTTTTCTATCTAGTAGTCCTGTAGTGAAGTGTGTATCTATGGCCTTCTGAATTGCATCTGTGTGCATATGCAAAAAAAAAAGAAAGAAAAACGCAAAATGTATAAATTGTCAGTTGGGGTCGCTCCTGAATTACCACTTCAACTGATCGAAATACTTTTCAGAAATGTCGATGACCTTAGTATGATGAAGTAATAGAACAATAAGATAAAGTAATGATAAAATGAATTCATATAACCGCCATAATGATGAAATAAAATCAATAAAAATAACAATGGTAGTAATAGCAACAACAAAAAAAAGTGATATCAATAACGAGAGTAAGCAATAACTTTAGTAGTGATGATTACATAGGTGTAAAAATGGATGACATTAATGATGAAAATATCAACAATAATAATAGTAATAACTATAATAAAGATACCAAGTATCAACTGCAACAATAATGATAATAACAGTATATAAAGATAATAAAAAATGCTGATAGTAGGATAATAAGCAAGAGTTAGTGTGATAGTGATAAAAAAAAACTTTCATGCTGATAAAAATTTTAAAACATTCTCCTAGCTAATTATATTCAGCTAAGCCCACAGTTCGAGTCCATTATGTAATCACATTCTCAAACGTTTCCATTTACCCCAAGATACACATTTCTCTTTGTGAAATGCTTGGAAAATCTATCCTTGCTAATCAAGTAAACAGTTCTGGCTACTAAGCTCACTGTTCTTATGAGTCATACAAAATTATTCATCTGCAAAGTTTTTTTTAAATAAGAACTTTGAAGAAGTGTGAAGCTCTGTGATCTGCCTGTTGCATCCATTTATTCAGATGATGTGAAATACATATAAACTGGAGTCTCTAACGAACCAAAGTACGTCAACAGTTTTTCATATCTTACTGGATAGGTATCGTGGTATAAAAAAAAGTCTTCATTAGATCATAAACACCACTTTTTTAATGTGTAATGATTATAACAAACCATGTTCCGTCATGCATGGAAAATTATCAGTGCAAAATAAAATGCGGTCTTAATGTATAAACGTTATTCCACATAAGAAAATATGGTACATACAATGAGATCCCAGTTCAGAGAAATTCCAAAAATGCGTATCAAACTGAAAAAAAAAAAAAAAAAAAAAAATCCATGCCTCTACATAACTATATAAGTAGATTCACTGTGTGAATGGAAAGCTAATTAACCCATGCCACTTGATATTGTGTCAGTATCGGAGATATCATGTTTCCTTCATAAATCATTTCAGGAGGTCGTAGGTCTTTTCTTACTCCTCTTAGCTGGGTTAGGATTTTTCCCCAATTACAATTCAACTTCCTGCGTGTGGTTCGGAGCTCCTCCACTCCCGATATCTGGAAGACCTACTCCGTGTTTCATTCCCAGAGCTCTTCCTAGCTCGGCGGCCCCGGAACTGACGGCTGCGGTGGCGTTCGCGCTCTCTTTTGATTTCATAAAGCCCGTGACGTTTACATCAATTTTCGCTGAGACGTCTTCGGGGGTTTCGCTCTCGGTGACTTTGGCTGAAATACTTGTCATCTCATACTTCATGTTTTCTTGCTTCATTCCGAGGACCTGAAATTAGACAATTTATAAGATACGCAGATGTAAGTATATATAAATGAATATGAATACACGAAATACATATTACATGTATATTAAATATATATATATATATATATATATATATATATATATATATATATATATATGTATATATGTATATATGTATATAAGTATATATATATATAAGTATATATAGTATATATATATATATATAGTAATATATATATATATAAGTATATATTTATATAAGTACTATATATATAAGTATATACTAATATATAGTTAGGGGGAGAGTAATAGTTCCTTCTTACTATTATTACTAAGTTACTTAATTCTTATTTCAAATTTAATATAGCGCTATACTTTATTCTTATTATCAAATATTATATACTATTTTCTAATCTATAGTATATAATATATCATAGAGTATTCAGTCATTCGTTGTTCCTACTTGAGTGTTCTTCATTCCTAACTTCTCTATCTTTCTTCTCCTTCTTTCTTCTATTCGCCCTCAATCACTCCTTGATATATGTCATCTTATCTATCTCATAGCTATTATCATACATACAGCTTATCATTTAATGCCAATATATATATAAATGTATACTATAAAGGTGAGTATACCTTACATATATTTATTTAACATATCTACTAAATATATAATATATTTAATTATAATTATAAAACAGTACTACTACATAAGTAAGAGCTCAAATTAGGAAATATCCATACTTATACCGCATATATAATAACATTATAGATACCATAGCTAATATATTAAAATATCAATATAAATATTATAATATATATTAACAAAACATTTATATATATAATGTATAAATATATAAATTATATTCTCTATAAGTATATCATAATCATATATTTATCTGCTACAAAAATGTATATATAATGAAATCGTAGTATATAAAATAACTGAAAGATATATATATATATAGTACTCAGCATAACTAAAAAATAAAATATACATAATATATAATATATTACAATTAAAATTCAATATTTAAAGATAAGGCACGTATCCGTTACTAGTATATATAAATAAAAGTATATATATTATATATATATCAGCATACTATAATAAACTAGCAGCCTAAAACCCTACGCCAATATATATAAATAAAAGTATAATATAATATATATATTATCCTAATGATAAACCCGGGGAACAAACTACACAATACTAAGGATCTCTTGCGCCATACTTATCCTATACACTATATACTCTATAAATCAGTACCGAAGTTATTATTTTCCAGTAGTATAATAGTAAGATTAAAAAAGACTGCTCAGTAAACGCTTATATATTATATTATACATTATATATTATATAATCGAACCAACTAGTATATAGTAATGTTCATATTGATTATATGAACTAATGATACGTAGAGTCACTATATAAAATCTATATATTTATATATGTATATATATATATATATATATTATAGTGGGTAGTTACTTGTAGTTATAGTGTATACATAATGTAATATAAGAGGTATCAATGAGTCTTAGTATTTATATATAGCTATGTAGGTATATATGTGTAGATTATATATATATATAGTAAACACCTATACGTAAATATCATAAATATATAGTGATATTTTATTTATCATTAACAAATGTATGTATATATATGTAAATGATTACTCTTGTAACGCCATAGTATCGACATTGTATATTTTATGTGATAAACTATTAACATTTATCGTTTCAGTAATTACATATATGTTATATGTTTATATTAATATTATGCTTAATTACTTTAGACTACTCATTACTTTGTTCTTACATCCTCATGTATATGTATATATATATCTTGTTTATTAGTATTTATAATATTGCACCAGCCTATATATGTGTATTTATACTTATTGTATTTATCAGCTCTTATTATTCTCTATTTAATGCTATACTGTATATAGTATAAGTGTAATATGTAGCTATATATGAACCACTGGACTGGAATAAACCCTAACGTTATCTATTATTTGTCAATTATTAGTATATAAATGAATCTTTTACATTTATAGTAAAATATACTGATAGTTATATCTATATAATATATATATAGTATATATATATATATATGATGTGTGTGATGTTTGTGTGGATTGAATATATGAGTAGTAATATATAGTGATACTATAGATGTGAGAAGTGAGGAATAAATATTTATAAATATAAATTAAATTTACTACCGATAATCAGTATATTATGGAGTAGGTGTTGTGGATTGGATGTGATGATAGATGTTAATTGCGATTGTTAAGAGCATATATGACTCAACACCTGGTTTTTGAAAAATTACAACTTACTATTTATATTAATTTATAACTATAGTATACTATTAGCAATATGAAGTATATATACATATATAGTTATAAAAAAAAATATATAATTTATAAGTATATATTAATAATTATCTAATTTGTAGATTATGTATATATAATTGTTTTTATTTTAATATTGTTTATTAGATTATTAGTTAAAATTTTTATATAATAATTTATATATATATAGAAATATATATATATATAAACGATTATATAAAGATTATATATAGTATAATATATATATTGAATAATATTCATATATGATTATATAACCTAGTATCTATATAATATATGATCTAATATATATAGGGAATATGTGCGTGTATATATATATATATATAATTATAGATCATATAGTATTTAATAGTATTATAATAGTCATATATGTTTATATATAAGTATATAAGTATATATATATATATTATGTTATATATTTATATTATATATTTATATATTATATATGTATGGTAATATATATACTTATTATAAGTTATAGAGTTATATATAATTTGCATTTAATGACTGATAATAAAGAACAATTTAAGATATAATATTATATCATATATAAGTATATATATATAAGTATAGAAGATATATATAAAAGAGGAATAGAAGATAGAATGTGATTAGTATATAGATATAAGAATTATTATAGGTAGTATATATATCAAAGACGATAATATGATAATAAGGAAATAAAGTAAATAAAGTTATATATATAGTAGTTAGTATAAAAGGTATATAGGTATAATATAATATACGTTATATAAGCTATAGTTAATATAGTGAGTATAGTTATTATAACAGTATATAAATATATAATAT